GTATCCAGGGGAACCCTTCAAATCTGAGTCACTTTGTACTTACTCTGCGCATGCACGAGATGTGTATAAATATATGAAATTACCCTTTATGTTGCCCATCCTCCCCATCTCAGTTTTCCCCACCACCACCACCCCCGTTTGTAAGCTCCCCAAGAACAGAGATTTCCTCTCTTGTCACTGCTAATCTTCCGATACCCAGCACTGTCCTGGGGCTTGCAAGGAATTGGGTCTTTGTTGGGCTGCCTGCCTGATGAGGTTAAAGAATCTCCTCTTGATTGGTGATGCCTTGTATGGTAGCCATTAGTTCACAAGTGGCTATTTGCATTATGTTGCTTCCAAATACTTTTGCTTTTGACAATCTTATGAAGTACACAGAAATCAATGCATTAATCTACAGGCATAAATGTAATAAACAGGTTTTAAAAAACCTTAAGAAATCTCCTAAAAGAAAAAGTCTCCTTTGTTTGAATATTAACTGATAGTTAAAAGTTTTCCCTGAGTCCAGAACTTTCTTCCTCCTCTCCAGTTGCTGTCATACAACTCCCAAGTTGGCTATTTAAATTAAGCAAAATTAAATGAAAAAGTCCTGCCTCTCACCGCCCCCACCTCCCCCACTCCCGTGATACATGTCATGTGTCACTGGGTGTATCTCGCTAGTTGGACAGAGCAGATGTGGACTATTTCCATCACTGCAGAAAAGTGCTACGGGCCAAGTTGTTTGACCACGAATATACATTATACTTGCTTAACACTCTCCCTTCATTTTCTCTGCCAGGTATGTTAATCCTAATCAAATCTTAAGTAAAACCCTCCTGGAATGTAGTCAGTTAATATGGCCCTTCCCGGCAGAATCCCTTAGGTGATGCATTATACATTCTAACCTCTAGGCTGTGGCTATAATCCCATTTTGGAGAGACTCTTCTGCTTTGCTAATGGACAAAAGGAAGTCTCCACTTAGTAGAAGGTGTGACTTAAATCACCACCTTTTGTTTCTTTGGGGGCATGATCTGCTGAAAGATAAAAACCACACCTCCATCAAAGTCATTCCTCTGGGTATAGGAGCCATTTCAGACACACAGAGAAATCCCAGGACCTTCCAGAGAGCCCAGTGAAGCACATTCCAGGTCTCTGTCTGCAGTGGTGGAGGCCGAGAGCAGAGACCATGGGCCAGGACAAAGGAGCCAGACGGAGACCAGAGGCCGATGGAAGGAAACCATGAGACAGAGAGGTAGAGCCAAGATTATGAGACTGTCCACCAGGCAGAAACCAAGGGACCACATGGCTGAGAGGCTAAGGCCCAGAAGGAGACTTGGCTGCTGGCTGTGAAGAGGCGCTATGGTGGACCAATACTGTGTCCTTACTGCTTAGTGATCCTGACTTGTAGTCCTCTGTTAACCTCCCTAATAACCCCCATCATTGTGAGTCGGGTCTGTGTGGCCACTGCAATGCGTTCTCAAGCCCAGCATGGGTGGAGAGTGATGTGGAGGGGCCGTTGGTACCAGAACAGGGAGAGAAAGATGGAAGGTGTGGCAAGGCTGCCTTCTGCCTCATGGCAACAGGAGGAGCTCAGACACGACACTTCTCGCCCTTTACGCACCTCCCTCTCTAGAACTTGCCACTCAACTAACAATCAAATAAAAGCCATCAGATGAATCCAACAATGCCTCTTTTAGAAGATATTTTTAAGAAAATAATTATTGACATATGCAAATATTTGGCTACAAGAATGTTCAATGCAGCATTGTTCATAGTAACTAAAAATGGGGCAGGAGGCGGTTACATAGTTATACAACCATTACAAGTAGATGGCTGTGTAATATCATGCAAAGATTTCCAAAATGTATTGTGAATGAAACACCCATATGGAAACACGAGAGATATTTACAAAGCACTAAGTGATCAGAGAGCACAGAACCTGGCCCTGCTGCAGTGGTTACCAGTGGGCTGCTAACCAACCCCAAGGTCAGTAGTTGGAAATGATCAGATGCTCCTTGGGAGAAGGATGTCTCCTTCCTCAGAGAGTGACAGTCTCAGAAACCCGCACGGGCAGGTCTACCCTGCCCTGGAGGGCCAACAGGAGTCGGGGCGGACTTGACAGTGAGAAGGGGCCAGAGTGGGAATCTCAAGCAACCAGGCTCATCTGTTATGTTCCATGTTTTTATGAGGACGTAAACACTCAATTAACAATAAATGGGCATGCAGGACTAGTTACTTGTTAAAAAGTAATAAAAGTAACGAAGTCCCTCCTTGGAGATGTGCAGGCCTGACGGAGCCATCCCTGGAAGTTCTTGATGGGCAGAGTCAAAGGTCAGCAAGAGCTTTCATGCTCAGAACAGGGAGGAGACCGGCCAAAACAATGCGGTTGGCTGCCTCTAGACC